TCTTCAGTTTCAGTCTTCGACGTTTGCTGAAGGATCTTTGGTGTGAGTGTTGTTTTCTTGAAGTATCGTTGTCTCTGAATGAATTACAAAACAAGTTCTTCAGCGATCACTGAACAAGCTCAGTGTATGATCGCTGGAACTGAAATTACATATACAAAAATACATCGAAAGGAAAAAGGGATTATCATCAAATCACTGAGAGAGAGGATCAACACGCACACATTTTTTCTTGTATTATTCTAATCTAACGTTCTTGTTTTTTCTTTTCAAAATTTCGTGAATCCTTTAGCATGGCAGAACAAACCAAACCCAAGTTGATGTTATGACACATAAATGCAGATAAATAATGTGTTATACTCATGGTCAATTATTTTATCAGCTTATTTGTAACGATTCCTTCTATATAAATTAAATATGAGATTTCTAAGCTCTTTTATAAATATCAAGTTACTGTTTATCAATAACTTCAATTATGGTTTTAAGTTAATTTTGAGATTACTGACAAGGGTGGATTTAGGGAGAGGGGTTTCAGGTTTCAGTAGGTACCCGTGTAACCACAAAAAAATTCAGCTATAATATAGTTTTGTTCTAAGGTCTTTAAGGCTTCTGCAATTTCGTTTGGTTGTCTGCTACGGTGCAACCACAAAAATATCCTACTGGATCCACCTTTGATTACTGAGTTATGTTACAACCCGTCCTATATGGATACAAAATGAAATCTATGAGTTTTTTTTATAAATCCAAATTTATGGTAAACAATATTTTTCATCTGATTTTTAGTTGATTTAGAGGTTATTGGATAAGCTCAATTATTTGGGATATGGGGCGATACATATACGTCTACTAATATGTGGAATTTTTGTAATTGAGTTGAGCCTTGTAACATCTTATGTGAATTCCACATCGTTGATGAATAAGAAGGTTGTCATATAAGCCTGAGGTACGGAAAATGAAAATGTTGTGATATTATTACTAGTTTAAAGTTGTAGGCTACACTATAACAATCTAAAAGTGTTACAGTAAGTTAATAAGATTTTGGACGTCTTAGCAAGTTTGTTATTTTATAGGACGCTTTTGAAGGAAAAATGTTCACTAAAAACAAATATAACATTTAGGGGCCGTTTACTAAACACTTACTTGGTAAGTGCTTACCAGATAAATTTTCTCATCGGATGAACATGAGAAGGGCCAAGAATCTTACCGGGCAAGGGCAATGAGAATGATGGAGAGTCTTATCCGGGAAGTCAAGATAACAACTCTTACCCAGTAAATTGTTGCATTCGATATGTTTTGATGTACTAAAATCTTACGCACCAAAATAAATCATAGTATTGACTCCTACCAATAAGCGCTTATCAGGTAAGCAATTGGGTAAACGGTCCCTTAGTCCTATAAATCAGTCTATTATGACACTTATGAGTTGTTTACCAAATGCTTATTAAATAAGCGCTTACTAACCAAAGGCACCCATTACATACCTTATCGGATAACATTCCCGTCCATCAAAATAAAATGTTGGTAAGCGTTTTTTTATCGGGTAAGAGTCTTCTCTTTCACTTACCAAGTAAAATTATTGGTCCTTGCTATGTCTCTTATCATGTAAGATTCTCGGTTCTTATTACACTCACCTGGTAAACGTTTAACTAGTAAAAGTTTGGTAAACGGCCCCTTAGTCATTTTTGCTGTCCTATAATCCTGATTTTATTGTAATGCTACCAATAACTTTCACCTAATTTTAAGTTGATTTAAAGATTATTGAATCAACGTACTGCGTGTTATATTATTGAACGAAACCAATAAAATATAACATTTATAATTATTTAATTTATGATAATTAAGTTTGGGTGAAAAGGGGAAAGACAGAAGGTTGGCAAAGTGGTACAGAAGGATTTCCAAATTTGTGCATTGTGAAATATGACAAGCTTTCAAGTGTGTGTATAAATGAAGCAATCAATGGTCAAAGGGTTAGATGGCATTTTCATGTGCCACAACTTTTTCATGTGGAAAATATGTAACACTTTAACACCAAATTTCACTATAAACTAAGGGCACGTTTACTCTGTAACCACTTTTTGATAAGAGTCAACATTTTAGCTTTAATTTATCAGATAAGATTGTAAATTGTCAAAAACGATATCTTATGTAACAATTTACCTGATAAGCGTTTACTGGGTAAGAATTATTACTTTCATTTACCGGCATGTAAGACTTTATATCTTTATCATCATTCTTACTGGGTAAGATTCTCGATACTTATTATGTTCATCATGTAAGATAAATGACCCGGTAACCATCTTCCGGTTAAATATTTAATAAATGTCCACTAAGAGCATCTCCAATCACACCGTAAAAACCCAAATTTGACATTTTACCTTCTCCAATGGCACGACAAACCTGCAAAGAATTTATCAGAGAGAGAAAGCGAGGCGACCTCCATATTTGGAGGGGTACTTTTACACGACAAATTTTAGAAAAACCCTAGGGCCCACCCCTTATCTTGATTTGGTTATTTATTTAATTTTTAAATACAATTATTTTAATATTGAATATCTATACTATTTTTAAACCATATTTATTAAAAGTCTTAGAAACAATTTTTAAGGCACAAAGTACTATACATTTATGTATAAAGTCTTAAAAACAATTCATAATGCATTAAGGGGCCGTTTACCAAACGCTTACCCAGTCACATTACCTTACCGGATGAATATGGTAAGGACCAAAAATCTTACCCGGTAAGAGGGAGACAAGGACCAAGAGTCTTACCCGGTAAGTGAAGACGACGACTCTTACCATGGTAAGCGCTTACTGGGTAAATTGTTGCATACAATGTTGTTTTTGTGGACAAAAGTCTTACCTGGTAAGTAAGTGGTAGTGTTAAATTTTACCGATAAACGCTTATCGGGTAAATGTTTGGTAAACGGCCCCTAAGTACTCGATCTCTTGATTTTTTGCTCTTGGTGTAAATCGAACACATTTGTGGAGTCGTTTAAATATGTTGAATTTTAACATGTCATACATTTTTTTTTCATCGATAGACTGTAATTGGAACTATAACTCTTATTTATTCAAATTGTATTAATATCTAAAAACCAAGTGTAACTTATATCATCGTTAAATCTTCTATAATAAAACCATTGAAACTTCAAAATCGTTAAAATTCACGTCTCCCGCCACATTGTACGGGTACACAATTAGTTATTTATTAAGTTTCTTTATTAAATTCAAAAATATATCCTTAAAATAAACATAAAATAAAAAATAAAAACAAAACAAAGACTTCAATAAAAACAAAATTGGTCCTTACATCGTTATATTTATGTTGATAACTTTTCTATGATTAATTCGTTTAATATGAATAAAAAAGTTAAGAACAAAATTAACAATAATCACGTTATCAGTACAACATAAAATATGTAATACAAATAGTATAATACATGTAATGAAGACCATAAGTGGATATACAAGTTTCTTTGAAAGAAGATAAATAATCGGGCAGTTTGTTTCGTGGGATTTGAAATTGGCTTGTGATCTGCATTGATTATTCAATGTATAAAGCAATTATTTCCTAATTTTTAGTTAGTTTATTTTTCTATTATCCCAATCTTAAGTCATTTTTATTATATTATTTTTTCTTTATTGTTTTATCGAACTAAGTGTATGATTTGTTTGTTTTTACACCATTAGAAGTCTAATATGTGAAAATGCAGGACTATTTGGTGCTACATCATTCATGCAACAGAGATCTGATGGAATTCGGCTTTTTGAAGAGCTTATTGACCTAAGTTGCTGAATACTTTTTTGTTTCTAGAACCCTAGAACTAAAAACATTTTGTGATTACAGATTGTTAAACTCTTGTTAAGATTATGTCACAATCTAGTTACTTTAATTGTACTTGGTGTTGATTTTTGATGGCTTTGTCCACTGGATAATCTTTTTGTCTTTTTATGCCCTATTTTTGTGTAAATAGGGGGTTGGATCCTTATATTTAGATCATCTAAATCAATTCTTGAACTGATCTCTCTCTAAACTTTGAAGCAATTTAAGTTTTGTAATTACCTTTAAGTTTGTTGTTTACTTTCCGTTATTTATTTTTCGTCATTTTTCCTCTCTTTATATCAAGTCATTTACTTTCCATAATTTATACTTATGTACGTCTTTACTTTCCATTATGAGTAGCTAATTTCATAGTTTGGGTGAGGGACAAAGAGTGAGATTTTAAGCGAAGGAAAGTGTATGTTGTTTTGCAATAACAACGTTTTACCATTGCATTCAAGTTTTATAAAAACTAATGACATTTCTTG